AATTGGATCCACGCCGATCTAATACCCAAGATCTGCGATCGTGAAGGGTGTGTCTGAGTACTTCAATTGTGATGTCGATACTTTGGCAGACGTAGAGTACGACCATGTTCGAGTGTGTAGAGTGCGAAAATTCGGCGATTTGCGGAATTTGGCGATTCGTGGGATTCTCGGCGATTTGAGAGATTGCGCTGTGAGGGATATAGGTATCGATCTGCCGACGGGGGCGAGTCGGCAATTCGGGGTTTTTGGCGACTTGGCGTCCTAGGCTATCGCGCTTTAAAGTAGCCGAAACTTCCTAATCGCCGAATCTCCTTAGTATGAACGCGGCGTAAATAACATTTTCTGCAGAATTTTGTATGGCTGACTCGACTCGTTGACTAGTAATGCTTAGTCATGACAAGACTCGCTCAGCTAAATCCACGCGTAGACGTACTGAAGTGTAGGAAGATGACAGGGAAGCTACTTGAGAGCGTTGTACCAAAACTAGCCTTCGAATAAAAGGGATTCTCAGCTCGACTACAGCGATCTGCTTAGAACACAGGCGAAGCGTAACAGACTTTGCTGCATGTTGAAAGTTTTTTCGTGGGTTTCCAGATATAAAGGCAATTTGAATTTAGCAAAATTTTGAGTCCTATGTGAGATTTCCCTACCACAATCAATATTTTAGGGAAAGCCTAAATTCGAAGCAATCACTACGGAATGCCTTGGAGCGACGGATACTGCTGAAAGAAATGCGAAGTCGAGATGGTAAAGAACCACGACGAGCACAGTGGACTAAAGATCGAGGTCGAGGCAGATTGCTAGTGAGTCTGTTTTCTTTTCTGAAGCTATTCATACCAACTTATTTTCTCAATTCCTGCCCAAAAAAACAAATCCTCATCGATTCTCCCCTCATTGTTCTGACTGAGACCTTGGCATACTTCTAGTCCATAAGATCCAAAAAATTACCCGGACCTCTACTCATACTACATGTGATCCATCAAGTGCAGTCCATATCAGACACCTGGGAAGGAGGTGTCTACGAACTTAGGCGTCAGGGCCAGGTAGCACATAGACAGCATGTGTATAAGAGAGCGTAGGAGTCAAAAGAAAGCTTGGACGCATTTGATCTTCAAGAATGACAGTTACCCTAAAGGGACAGACAGCATTGGCCAGATAGGCCGACGCCGCAGCTTCCACAACGCAGCCCATAGGCACACCCTCTCCAGATGTAATGAGATGGACTGCATGGGGTGTAGTTCAGGTCAGGCGCATAAACCGACGTTTTTAAGCTAGATAAGGCTTACTAAACGATAAAGGTCTTGGGATGTTGTGGCAAAATTTGACTTCAAAACACTAGACCGAGCCAACCAGCTAGGAACGTTGCCAGCGACGCCCCGAATCTCCTGAACCAAACAACAGCACGCCTACGCAGTACATGTCCTACGGCTAGTCCCATGACCCGAACTCTTCTCGCAAACTCTCCAGAGCAAACCAACACAGAACAACCATTCAGAAGAGGAACTTCAATTTAGTAATTTCGATCATTGAGGTTCCTGTTTTCATCCGCAGGAGGCTGAATGTAAGGGATAGCGGGTCACACCATACCTTCATGAAGGGGAAACCCGTCGCCAAAGTACCCTTTGTAGATTCGAATTCGGAGTATCTTACCGTTATCCCGCTTCTCAGCAACCGTGTGAAGCGTGCGGTATCGCATCAGCTACACAGGGATGTCGTCGGAGACAGTTTGGCTTGTCTGCTGAGGATGATGGGACTGTCAGGGGGATGGGTTTGGTGCGGCGCCAGCCCTTTCTTTCCGTTTTTTTCTTTCGGCAGGCGACAAGATTATCCAGTTCAGCCTCTTTGACACGTCCCCCATCCGCAGCGAACAAGTCGGTAAATCTCTAAGAAATTACCTCGATCAAACCCCGCCTTTCCCTCTTTGACCTCCCGTCTGCGATCCCATTTCTTCCTCATTATCACGCAAAAACAATCGTTTGAATTCTCAATCAATTTTACAAACCTATTCAGAGTGATGCTACCGGCGATGAAAAGTCGAAAGCCGTACGGTGGCAGAACGCTAAACAACACGGGAAATTACGAGCCGGACCTCTACTACGGCGAGACAGCCGAGATGCCTATCGAATACGTCGACGGAATCCCAGTGGAGATATAAGGAAATCCACAGAATAATAAATATGAGGAAAATTCATGTTCATAGGAAATGGGGCACTTTCAGCTTCATTCAAATGGACGTCACTATTCCTGTAGGAAAAAAGATTAATGTGAGGTCGAAGCGAGTGCGAGGTGAAACGTACTACAATTTTAAGGCAATCGAGTTATTTTTAACTGCACAAGTTCCACATCTTTTTATTATCGTGGCTTACAAGGTGGCGAAACCACTAAAAAGAGTAGTGTACCGTAAAGGATCGATACCAGGTAACAGAAGCTCAGTAAGTTTAATATTTTATTAGAATAACCTATACAAATCTTATCGAAAATGCCGTTCTCGATATGCATCAACTTCGCTGAGCGTCAGAGGTCCTCCAACCATTCTTATTCGGTCATCTTTTCTCTTTATCATGGCCTCAGCATTATCTAAAACCACTAATATTGAGATCCGCCGATAGGGGGGGGGGCAGTAACCTTCGCAGTCAGGCCTTTGAAAAGATGGACAAATGCTGAGACGTACCTCTGACTTGCTCGTGATTCGTTCCAAAAGCGCAGTCATACCTATATCCCAGTCCCATAACAAGCGGTGCAATGGGAATGGCAAAATCCTGAATATACTGAAAACTTATATATAGCATACTCGTACCAATATGTCATCAGGTATTCGCTAACGGGTTCAACAGACCTTTCTTTTACTGAAGGCACCGGCTGCTAGAAGAACGACTGCCATAGTGCCGATGCCAAGAAATTCCCATGTGAAGCGTTCTTGTCGTTCAATCAACTGAAAAAAACGGGAGATTACTATGATCACTAAAATGCTTTTAGGCTTAGCTTTCAAACCCGCCCATCTGGGTTATACTGCTTAATGGATGGGAAACGGCCGAACCCGGCTATAATTTACAAACCTCGACAGCCCGCTGGTGTGCAGCTTGCAGGTTCTTCAGCACAACTTCGGCTTCAATCTGAACGAGAAAATTGGAAATGGCAGAAATTCATCATAACAAGCATAGGTGTGAGTAAGCAGGCCAAATCAGCATTGTGTCTCCGAAGGTTTCAACCGCCCCCCCCCCTGTGGGTGCTCCTAGGAATCATAAGAAAAACCAGCAAGAAGAATATTTGAACCACCAGAAACGTCCTTCCATCTGGGAAACATTGCTGTTTAGTACAAATCAGGTAACGTTCAGACTTTGGGAGGCGCTGTAACGCGATACAGTGGCAACAGCGATCCAAGGATGCGGACGTAGCCGCGGACGGGAATCAATCGCCTGCTTGTAGGGAACGCCTTCCAGTCACGCAGTCTAATATCCGGCACAACCCACAACGACGACACCAATTGATTCCTGTCGTTAGCGTCATAGGACTGGAGCACCGTATCAACTGTAGCGCGTCAACGCGTGCCATCGCGAAGTATGAACGCTGCCTAAAGTCACCCGGGAGTACCTGACTCATTACAAGCAAACGGTCTGGTTTGACAGCAACCTGCGAGAGAGCCAGTGTGACAAATCTGTGATGATAGACTCATCGGACAAAAAAGACAAGAAGTAGGGGCGCAGTTTGGTTTGGTGGAGGCACCATATGGTGCTCAGCTGAGTTCGCACAAGATGCTTAGTTAACACCGGTAGATTCCTCTAATCAGGCAGGCGCACTCAATCATTTGGCAGTTTACAGATCTCACCAAAGTCAGACCTGTTGGTTGACAGAATCTAGGAAAAGTGCAAAATGTCTCTGCTTCATCTAAACCGAACGGCGCCAGAATACGCTAATCCCCTCTGAAGTTGTGTTCATACTATGCGGACAAGGAGAGTCCACTTGAGAGAATCTGCGACTCCAGAAAATCGGTAAAAAGGAGCAATTCGCATATCCTCTGGAATTGATTATTCGTCCAGAACGTCAGTGGGCATTCTGTGAACTCGTTTGTCCATAATTTTTCGAAATCGCAGATTCCCGCAATCGCAAACTATGAACGAACGCGGCTCAAGGATTTAGCTTCAGATTTAGCTCATTTCAACCGATGGATTGGTTTCATCAGGAAAAAAACAGATCTACGACGAGATGGTTTTTTACATCACAATCAGAAAAAAACTTACAAAATCATCATTGAGCATTTTGAGCTCCGCAGCGTTACTTCCTCCTGTGGATATCGTTTGTCCCATCTGAAACATAGAAGGAGCGCGATGACACCTTACGAAAGCTCCAAAACTCGAAAACTCGTAGAACAAAGAACAGAATCGCCGGCTGTAAGACGGCTCAGTTACTGGTCGATACCCAATAAATGTCGTTTATTATACACTTACCACTGTCAATTCTTAATGTCTCGGTAAAACAGTAACAAAGTAAAAAAAAACCGAAGGTTTTTACTTAATCTAGTAAACTATTAAAGTTGCAGTAACTAGTAACTACCTATAGCAAAAGTGTGCACCTTGAATTAGGCAAAGTGACAGTACATCAATGACGTCACAAAAACAAGTCCTCTTCCCGTTTCAGTTCTTTCAGTTCCTTCATTCGATTTCGTACATCCTGCACTGAGGGTGGAATAGGAGCTATGAGATCTACGTCACTTTGAAGTTTCTATAGCCAACCTCCCCTGACAATATCTATATGATTTCGTCTGAAGCAGACGGAAAATAAAGCTGGGACAGACCGTTGATTATATTTGTTTTATTTCCGTAACAGTAATGTGCTTTATAACCCAGGTAGCCTATGGTAGGGAACACTGGTAACAAGGGCAACATGTTCCTGAAAAAAGTTAAACGCTGATTGAAGAAGCAAAACAAAAAATTGTTCCGAGCTGCGTTCATACTTTGCGTCGGCGTTTTGAGCGCGCGCGAAACGCTCAAGATCGATATGTATACTTCCCTTATCGTTCGAAACGCTGCCGTGCGCTCGAAACTGACGCGAGGTATGAACGCGATCTAGCCCACTTGTGGTGATATGAAGCGAGTGCGCAGAACACCATCATAATGCCTCCACCTGAAGCAGTCCAGTTCAACTTCTCGCGTTCCTCAGCGAGCTGAATGAGATTACAGTAGTACGAAGGAACAAAAAGGGCCCCTCTGTAAGGATCTAAGTCTTAATTGAGTAAGCATAAAATTGTTGCTGTAATCTGGAAAAAACCGTAGCGTTAATGTAACATAGATAAGCGGCCTAACAGGTTGCCTGTTAAGAAATACATGACGTACTATCGACGTCACATAACATGTTAGTGATGTGTTCTGACGTCACTAACAATAACTCAATGCAAATTCTCTCATTATTAATGTGTTTAGTGACACGTTATATCTTAAAGGCACGGTCCGCGATCAGGAATGGAAGTCGAAAATATGGCGTCGTGAGGGTAGTGTGTCCGCGACGAACAACCTTGTAAAAAATTATAAGGGAGGGGCACTATATCGCGGTATGGCTTCAGTGATGCCTCCTTTTTCCAGTGACTCCGCCTCCAGACTCCGCCTTCAAGGCCCGCCTTTCAGTGAAAAACGAAGCTGCAGGACGAAAAAGCATGAAAATCGTCACTTGTACGGTCGTAGAGTTCTTATCGGGAATCAGCTGTGCGGATGAGGGCGTAGTGTTGGAGATGGAGTTCATTGGGCACGTACAAACTGGGATCGAAATGGGGTTCTATCTAGGGCAGTTGGCATGTTTTCCTTTTTTCTCTTCACTATCGAGTTACTCAGCACCTTTTCGTCTAACCACACTCCCCCTAGAATTTCGTCCACTTACGACCTCTCTCTCTCACCACCACTCTAACTACCTACCTTCTTGTAAAACACCCCTTATTTCTACCACTTTCTAGAGACTTCGAAAATTCCTCAGTTTGCCAAAAAAAAACTGCCGCCGAGGGAGTATACAGCGAGTAAAGAGGAGAAACCCGAGAAAAATCAACAATCCATTTTCAGGAAAGCAACTAAGATCCCGTCTCGACCGAAATACGAACCCCTCGCTGGGGATCTTCAATGTATGACGTGCCCTGTCTGCTACACCAGCGACGAAATTGCAGTTCGGCATAGCTTTCAGCAACCATAATTCGAGAAAGAAATCCATACCTTATATGCATGTCGACGTTGCTCGAGAAGTTGAGCTATTGCTAACTGCCGTTCTATCTTAAAAAAGAAAATAAAAATAAAAGTTCTAGGCAAAGAAAACATGTACAATGGGTTTATAGATAGCAAAATCTTTCGAACTCCAAAAAAGCAGAGATTTCCACGAAAATACTAAACTTCTGTAAACCCAAGGAGCCAAGTAATATCTCTCAAATGAATACAACGCACATGCATTGAACAACTTTTCAAGACGACTCACCCTTGTTTTCTCAAGTTCGCGATATAAATCCGTATGGATCCCAGATGAAGCTGTAGAAAAAAAGCAGCCCATCAGCTACGAAAAATATATATCCGAATTCCTGGATTCGGAATAGAGCGATACCCGTAGCGAAAACAATAAACTAGAAAACGAATACTTCTCCGCGCAATCAGGGGGACTTCTGCGGAAAAACTACTGTGACTATCTGCAATCACACACCTTGCTTTTCAGACAACGGTTGACGCTACAGTAATCCAAGAGCTGATTTTTCTGTCGTGGTTGCTTTTCTAAAACGCTTTTCTTGATTCTTCGTAGACATTATGGAGTTCTGTTTTTCTCTGTGCGGAAAGCATTTCAGCTCGCTTTCAGTTTTGGTTTTGGAGCGCCGTCTTCAGAGTCCTGTAGCGACTCCTTACTGACT